ATCTTTCCTTCAAGCGATCAAGCCTTCCTTCAAGCGATCGATCCTTCCTTCGGTTGATAGATCCTTCCTTCGACTGATCATTTGACCCTGTCGATCAATTATTCGATTGACCAAACTATCGATCTAAGGAAGGGTTGAACGATCAATCAAAAGAAGGGTTGATCGATTGAAGAATAGGTCAATCGATCAATTGAAGGCTTCAAGAGCACCAATCCTCTTTTTTTTGGGTCACCCGCCAGCGGTCCTGGCTCCTCTCCCCTGCCAGGTGCTCCCAGTAACAAGCCTCTTCCTATGGGGGCACTCGAGCAGGCTCATTCCCGAGCCACTCTACTGCAAATGGACATTGTATTTTCACACACAGAGCACGGTTCAGCCCTGCCCCTGACCAACTCTCTCCTCATTGGCTCACTAGCTGTGATTGACAGCAACAGGAGCCAATAGCTTTCCCTACTGTGTGAGCCAATGAGGCAGCAGAGACCCAAGAGAGCAGCTGCTCTCATGCACATCGCTGGATTGAGATGGTGAGTATAAGGAGAGGAGGACGTCTGGGGGAAAAGCTGCACTCAGAGAAGTTTTTAACCTTAACCACTTCCTGGCTGCCCTATAACAGAAATACTGCTACAGTGCGGCACGGGTGCACAAAATCACGTATATATATATATGTGATTCTGCATTTCATTCCGGGGGTACCCGTTTTTGTTTACCAACAGTCCTCCTCCCTGTTAGCTTGGGCACACTGCTGTGGATGGCTGTACACAGCACAGCCATCTACAGCAGTGTGATTACAGTGAAGCACACACATCCCGCCCCCTAGTAAAACACTCCCAGCACAGTTAACCCTTTGATCGCCCTTTCATGTTAACCCTTTCCTGCCCAGTGCCATTAATACAGTGTCAGTGCTTTTTTTTTTAGCACTGATCACTGTATTGGTGTCACTGGGGATGTCACCAAGCCAGTTCCCACCAGTGTCAGAATGCCTGCCACAGTCCCGCAGTCCCACTATAAGTCACTGATTGCCATCATTACTAGTAAAAATGTGCCTAGGGACACCACTGTCTGCATAGCAGAGCAATACACAGCATCTTGTCTACACAGTAAATCACACACAGCACACAGTTAACCCTTTGATCACCCCAGATGTTAAACCCCTTCCTACCCAGTGCCATTAGTACAGTGTCAGAGCTTTTAATTAGTGCTGATCACTGTATTGGTGTCACTGGGGATATCAGTGGCAGTTAGTCAGTTCCCACCCCAGTGTCAGAATGCCCGCCACAGTCCTGCTATAAGTTACTGATTGCCGCCATTACTAGTATAAAAAAAAAATAAAATCCCAGTATACATACTGCCTTTTGTAAACGCTATAACTTTCACGTAAACCAATTAATTTACACATATTGGGATTTTTTTCTAGCAAAAACATTTAGCAGAATACATTTTGGTGTAAATTTATGAGGAAAGTTGTTTTTTTACTGGACATGTTTAATGTCAAAAATATTTTTTGGTTCTCAAAAATGTCAGTCACAGTTGATCAAATACTACCGAAAGAAAGCTCAATTCGTGGGGAAAAAAAGGACGTAAATTTCATTTGGGTGCAGCGTTGCATGACCGCCCAATTGTCACTTAAAGTAACGCAGTGCCTTAATGCAAAAAATGGCCTGGTCAGGAAGGGGGGGGGGGGGTAAATTCTCTGGAGGGCGAGGGACTAATACATACAATGCATTAAGTTAAGGAAAAAAAACCTTCTAGCTATAAAACAACTTCAAATAATATTCTGGTTTTACTTTCAAAAGAATGTGCCATTTAGAAAAATAAACATGTTTAATAAATAATTGTATGTTACCATAAATATAGACAAATGACATTCATCCAAATACGAATCTATATACAACATAAACAGAATGCAGAATAATTTAAGCGATGATCCTTGGCTGAGTATCGGATGCTCTCTTTCAGTTGAGGCTGGGTTTACTTCCTTACAGATCCATGACCTGGGAGTATTCATCACTGGTTATCTAAAAAATAAATAATACGATTCAGGTTAGAATAAAGATAAGAACACATAGGCAGAGATTTACTAAAATTGGAGCACTCAGAATCTGGTGCGGCTGTGCATGGTAGCCAATCAGCTTCTCACTTCAGCTTGTTCAGTTAAGCTTTGACCATAAAACCTGGAAGCTGATTGGTTCCTATGCACAGCTGCACCAGATTTTGCACTCTCCAGGTCTAGCACATCAACCCCATTCTGTTTCACACTAATAGGGATTTGATTTAGTAGGCTTTAGTTAACCTCTTCACGCCTGCGTATCCCGGCCCTTTAAGGGGTTTCAGACGCCGGGAGGTGGGGCGGGTTTTTAGGGTCATGTGACCATGGTGATTTGCTGTCACATGATCGGAAAAGGTCCCGATTGCAAGGGGAGATCGGAACCTTTCCGTGAGACACCAATATACTGTACCATTTGAAAACACATATGTGCTGGGCGCGCACTCCCAGCACACATGTGTTTTCTAATGGTACGCAAATATACGGCCACTTGGCAAGGCCCAGCTGCCAAAAGGCTGCATATTTGCGTACAGTTGGCGTCAAGGGGTTAATGGCATTAAATACTAGTATAATATGATGATATGCTACTAACATATTACAACATATTAGCCACTTGCCCTCCAGAGAATTGACCCCCCTTCCTGACCAGGCCATTTTTTTCGATACGGCGCAACGCTGCACATAGATGGTATCAGTGGGAGGAATAGTGCCCCACCATTAGTGTCAGTGGGAGGAATAGTGCCCCATCATTGGTATCAGTGGTAGGAATAGTGCCCCATCATTGGTATCAGTGGGAGGAATACTACCCGATCATTGGTATTAGTGGGAGGAATAGTGCCCCATCATTGGTGTCAGTGGGAGGAATAGTGCCCCATCATTGGTATTAGTGGGAGGAATAGTGCCCCATCATTGGTGTCAGTGGGAGGAATAGTGTCCCATCATTGGTGTCAGTGGGAGGAATAGTGCCCCATCATTGGTATTAGTATGAGGAATAGTGCCCCATCATTGGTAACAGTGGGAGGAATAGTGCCCCATCATTGGTATTAGTGGGAGGAATAGTGCCCCATCATTGGTATTAGTGGGAGGAATAGTGCCCCATCATTGGTAACAGAAGAAGGAATAGTACCCCATCATTGGTAACAGTGGAAGGAATAGTGCCCTATCATTTGTAACAGTGGGAGGAATAGTACCCCATCATTGGTCTCACTGGGAAGAATAATACCGCATTTGTGTTCTCCGTGGCAGGAATTATGCCCCACTGTTTGGGTCAGTAAGAAGAATAGTGCACCATCATTGGTATTAGTGGAAGGAATAGTGTCCCAACATTGGTATCAGTGGGAGGAATAGTGCCCCATCATTGCATCATTGGTAAGAGTGGAAGGAATAGTACCCCATCATTGGTATCAGTGGGAGGAATAGTGCCCCATCATTGGTATCAGTGGGAGGAATAGTGCCCCATCATTGGTATCAGTGGGAGGAATAGTATCCCATCATTGGTATTAGTGGGAGGAATAGTATCCCATCATTGATATTAGTGGGAGGAATAGTGCCTCATCATTGGTATCAGTGGGAGGAATAGTATCCCATCATTGGTATTAGTGGGAGGAATAGTACCCCATCATTGGTAACAGTGGGAGGAATAGTGTGTCCCATCATTGGTAACAGTGGGAGGAATAGTACCCCACCATTGGTGATAGTGATAGTGGGAGGAATAGTACCCCATCATTGTCAACAGTGGGAGGAATAGTACCCCATCATTGGTAACAGTGGGAGGAATAGTGCCCCATCATTGGTCTCACTGGAAGGAATAATACCGCATTTTTGGTCTCAGTGGCAGGAATTATGCCCCACTGTTTGGGTCAGTAAGAAGAATAGTGCACCATCATTGGTACTAGGGGGAGGAATAGTGGTCCATTGTTTGTGTCATTAGGAGGAATAGTACATTGGTGTCAGTGGAGGGAATTATGTCTCACTGTTTGTCAGCTGGAGGAATACCATCTTGCATCAGTGGGCAGAATAGTGCTCTAAGGTTACGTTCACACAAGCGTTGTGTGCAGGTGGCAGAGAGGCGTTTGGGAAGCGTTTTTACCGCTTCCCAAACGCCTCTGCCAATTCTGCACATTACAGCACATGGTGCTGCTCTAACGGGGAGCGTTTGCGTCGCGTCACGTTGCGTCGCGGCAAAACGGATACCTCTGGTCGAGTCAGGAGGCGTTGAAGCCTCCTATTCTAGTCTATGGTGCTGCTCCGCAAACGCCCGGCCGGCGTTTGCGGTGCAGTTGCGACGCGGTTTGCAGAGGTTTGTGGAGCGGTAACACCATTCAAACTGCATTATAGGCATTTGTGGGGCATTTTTAACGCTCGGGAAATGCCTAGCAACCGCCGCTAAACCGCACATGCGGCGTTTGCCGGACCAACGCTTGCAAAACGCTATAGGGGCGTTTGGCAAGCGTTGGTAAAACAGCTAAGTGTGAACGAGCCCTAAGGGCCAGATAAAGACTAGCAAAGTGCTGCAGTGTGGTGACCACTGTATAAAGTCAATACAATTTTTACCTACAACTCTGGGTAAGTTAAACATTGTCTAGAACGTAATGTTTTCATTACATAAAGCACAATTACAGTGAACCATTATGTTGTACAACAGTTAAAAAATAAAATATTTTCTGGCTGCTCTAATCTGCTAGAAGCTCATTTTTTAATGGCTGCCACATTTTACCACCTACCATCACCCTCTTCCCCAAGCCCATACAAGTACCAGCCAGTTTAGCCTTTGTTATAGAGCTGGCACCTATTCATACTACTGACATACAATTATTTCCTGGCAAACAGTTGTTGCAATTATCGTTGCAGAAGACTATAGATATTGGAGAGTTAGGACTAAAGCACCAAAGTACTTCAAGGAAGCAATTACTTATCCAAAAATATGTAATATAGTTATAAAGTATTTTAAAAGAGTCTCTTACCGTCTGCTGGAGACATGTGGAGAATAGAATTCAGTAGAAAGTTGAGGCAAAGTGGTCTTCCCTGTTGCATATTGCAGCTGCTGAGGGCTGGTTTGTAGTTCTGAGAAGTAAGGGATCTCATATGACATGTTGTAGGTGTTTTGCGTGTTATGTAGTACTGGTTCAACAGGCATAAGTCTTGATGGAGCTGTGGGCTCTGTAGAGGTTGAAAAGGACATACAACTCTTCTCTTCAGGCTCTGAGCAAAACGGATGCGTCATATCTATGTAGCGACCTAAGCCTTGTGGGCATCTGTTTGCTCTTTGCATGGCCTCCAATCTTCTTTGCTCTAAGACATCTTCACTTAGTCCCAACTGTGCCGACAGATGTGATATGTAGCGAATTGTTAACTGAAGAGTTTCAATTTTTGTTAGAGGCTTATCTGCGGGAACCATGGATGGAGGAAGATATCTTCTGAGGTTCTGGAGAGCTTTGGAGAGGTTCCTCATCCTCATCTTCTCTCTTTCACTTGCGTTTTGTCGTTGACTATATGGAAGCTTGCCCTTCCTTCGGATTTTCTTTTCAGCACAGTTTTTTGTCTGAGCTTTCAAGTTCATTGTTTGAGAGGTGGTTGAAGAAATATCACCAAATGCCTCCTGAGAGGTTGTATAAAGCAGATATGGAGGAGAAAGGCCACTGGAGTCAATGGAAGAAGCAGGAGAAAGGCTGCTGTATCCCTCGGAGCTAGGATAGCCACACTGGAAGAGAGTGGTACAGTTCTGGTACATGTTGCGGTCCTGGTAATGGAGAGGTACAGAAGAGCTGTCCATGTATCTGCTTGTTCAGTGCTTGTTGAGCAGTGAGCAGAGCTGGGCTGCCACAGTCTTTATCCAGTGTGGAGAGGTGTGAATTGTCACCTTCTCCACTATCATCAACACATCAAAGCTTCAAGACAGGGGGTCCCTGGGAAGAAGACTCAGCACAGGGCCAAAGTGAGCAATTTCACCCCTTCAGGAATGAAATGTAATTGACCCCTTCCAAGTATTTTGAAATATGCTTATATTGCTTGCAGAATTTCTCTGAGAAAGACTAGAAAGTTCCCTCCCATGTATTAGTTAGTAACTCCGTGGGATATGCACTTCTGTGTTTTCACATAGCTAATGCCCATTTCAAACCTGTTAGAAACAACTCTTAGGGTGTAGATTACATTGATGGATCTGCAATATTTGGTTAAAAAACGGTGTCTATATTTTGTTGACTATACCAAGGGTCTCCAAACTTTCCAAACAAAGGGCCAGTTTACTGTCCCCAGACTTTGTGGGGGCCAGTGGGAGTAGAAAATGCCCTGGCGTCAATGGAGCAAACAAAGCCCCATCATTGGTATTAGTGGGAGGAAAAGTGCCCAATTGTCAGTAAACCGTGTGAGGAATGGTGCCCTATCATTGGTATCAGTGTGAGGAATAGTGCCCCATCATTGGTATCAGTGTGAGGAATAGTGCCCCATCATTGCTATCAGAATAGTGCCCCATCATTGGAGTGTGAGGAATGGTGCCCTATCATTGGTATCAGTGTGAGGAATGGTGCCCTATCATTGGTATCAGTGTGAGGAATAGTGCCCCATCATTGGTATCAGTGTGAGGAATAGTGCCCTATCATTGGTATCAGTGTGAGGAATAGTGCCCTATCATTGGTATCAGTGTGGGAGGAATAGTGCCCTATCATTGGTATCAGTGTGAGGAATAGTGCCCTATCATTGGTATCAGTGTGAGGAATAGTGCCCCCATTCATTGATATCAGCCCTATGGTATCAGAGGAATAGTGCCCTATCATTGTATCAGTGTGAGGAATAGTGCCCCATCATTGGTATCAGTGGAGAATAGTGGTGCCCTATCATTGGTATCAGTGTGAGGAATAGTGCCCCATCATTGGTATCAGTGGGAGGAATAGTGTCCCATCATTGGTATCAGTGTGAGGAATAGTGCCCATCATTGATATCAGTGGAGGAATAGTGTGCCCATCATTGGTATCAGTGTGAGGAATAGTGCCCCATCATTGATATCAGTGGGAGGAATAGTGTCCCATCATTGGTATCAGTGTGAGGAATAGTGCCCTATCATTGGTATCAGTGGGAGGAATGGTGCCCATCATTGGTATCAGTGTGAGGAATAGTGCCCTATCATTGGTATCAGTGTGTGAGGAATAGTGCCCTCATTGGTATCAGTGGGAGGAATAGTGCCCTATCATTGGTATCAGTGTGAGGAATAGTGCCCCATCATTGGTATCAGTGTGAGGAATAGTGCCCTATCATTGGTATCAGTGTGAGGAATAGTGCCCTATCATTGGTATCAGTGGGAGGAATAGTGCCCTATCATTGGTATCAGTGTGAGGAATAGTGCCCTATCATTGGTATCAGTGTGAGGAATAGTGCCCTATCATTGGTATCAGTGTGAGGAATAGTGAGGTATCAGTGTGCCCTATCATTGGAATCAGTGGGAGGAATAATAGTGCCCTATCATTGGTATCAGTGGGAGGAATAGTGCCCTATCATTGATATCAGTGGGAGGAATAGTGCCCCATCATTGGTATCAGTGGGAGGAATAGTGCCCATCATTGGTATCAGTGGGAGGAATAGTGCCCCATCATTGGTATCAGTGTGAGGAATAGTGCCCCATCATTGGTATCAGTGTGAGGAATGGGAGGAATAGTGCCCCATCATTGGTAGTGTCCCATCATCAGTGTGAGGAAGGAATGGTGAGGAATGCCCCATTGGTATCAGTGTGAGGAATAGTGCCCTATCATTGGTATCAGTGTGAGGAATAGTGCCCTATCATTGGTATCAGTGTGAGGTAGTGCCCTATCAGTGGTATCAGTGTGAGGAATAGTGCCCTATCATTGGTGTCAATGGTAGGAAAATGCCCCATCATTGGTGCCAGTGGGAAGTATAGTGCCCCATTGATGGGGTCAGTGGTAGTAATAGTGCCCAACTGTTGATATCAGTGACAGGAATTATGCCCTAATGTTGGTGTCAGTGGAAGTGTACCCCAAGGGCCAGATAAAGGCAAGTAAAGGGCCACATCTGGCCCCCAGACTGCAGTTTGGAGAGCCCACTGGACAATTCCACAGATCTAGGTAGTATTGTGTTGCAGATAATATGCAATTAACATGTTTTTGCAATTAGCATATTTTAGTTAAAGTGAAACTTCACTCTCTCAATCAGCATGGACTTTTTTTTAAAATCACGATGCTGCTAGCATTAGTTAACAGATAGTAAAGTATATCATATTTACTTTTTTAAACTTTTTTCTATATTTCTTCAGTTACTTCCTGGTTTCCATGCCTAGGCAAATAATGTCATACATCCTAGCAGTCTTCAGGAGGGGAGGGTTCTCAGCTCAACCCATGCCTGATCTAAGGGCAGATGGATTCCAGGAAGTAAATGATACATGAATCATCTGCCCTTACTCAAGATGGCCACTGCCAGAAATTCTGGGGAGTGTTTTTCAAAATCATTTCTCAGCAAAATAAAGCACGGAGACATGGACTGAGAAGTTTGCTTTGAATATTAAAAATTAATTAAATAGCATTTTTGGTTTGTGGGGCTTTCTCGGGTAAGCACACCCTCCTGCCTGCATTCCTGAGCTAAAGGCAGATGGATTCCAGGAAGTAGTTGCTACACAAATCATGAATCAGGATGGCCAGAAATTCTAGATGAGATGGTGTATTTCAGAGTAATTTCTCAGCAAAATAAAATCTTGGAGACATGGATGGACGGGGGAGTTTGCTTTGAATATTAACAATTAATTAAGTAGCATTTTTGGTTTGTGGTGCTCAGATGAAGTGCAGTTCCACTTTAATGAACCTGGTACATCACACTGTGGTGACTTAACACACCCTAGGTTCACACATAAGCGTTTTCTGCGGCGTTTTGCAGAAACGCAGCACAGTCCATTTAACATGATTTCCTATGGGATAGGTTCACATCTCTGTGCTTTCACCTGGAGCGTTTTTTGGAAAGGGTCAGGGACTTTTTTTAATGCAAAAATTTGTGTATTTGGTTCTATAGACCTCAATGGAAATGCTGCGGAAGAGCATGTATTGCGTTTTTGCTGCGTTTTTTATGTGGTTTGCGTCTTAAATCTGCTTAGCAACAAGAAAAATAAAAAAAAATGAAAAATATGCGAAACACATCAAAAACTCAGCTAAAAACGCTGAAAAAATGTGGCAAAAATGCAGGTGCGAAATGCAATGCAGAAACAGCTCAAACGAAGCCTGCATAGGTGTGAGCCTAGCCTCAGTGACATTAAGCCCTGGTTCACACCACCGCAAATTCAGGTGCGATTCGGGAATTGAAATCGCACCTGAAATCGGATCTAATTAATGTGAGTGTAACATACGCTATTTGCTGCAGCGCGATTTCAAATGTAGTTCTTGTTTTACTTTCTCTGCAGTTTGTTGCGATTTCACATACATAGACTACAATATAAATCGCACTGCAAAACGCAATGGAAAAAGCAAGAAACTGTTGGGAAATCTTCACAAGTTGCAAACAAAATCTTCAAATGCAGTGAAATAGCAAACAAAATGCGCGATTTTAAATCGCATCCAGTGTGAACCAAGCCTTAGTGCCGGTCATACTGGTGAGATTTTAGGTGAGATTTGCAAATTAAATTTGCACCTGAAATCACATCTAACGAATGTGAATGTCAGTGTCTTAACATGTGCGATTTGCTGCAGCATGATTTCTAAAGTAGTTCTTACTTTTGCTGCAGTTTATTGCGATTTCACATACATAGAATATAATGGAAATCGCAATGCAAATCACAAGAAATCTTTGAAAACCTTCACAAGTTGCAATAAGGTCTTCAGAAATCGCACCTGAAATTGCACTGAAATTGAACACAAATCGCACAATTTTAAATCGCAGCGGTGTGACCGGTGACTTAATGGCATGATAGTCAGTTCTTAATATAAGTGAATTTGGTTGGCATTCAAAAACAACTAAGAACAATTTCAAGCAGAACTAAACTGTGTCTGAGCACCACAAACCAAAAGCAGAATTTAATTCATTATTAATATTCAAAGTAAACTCCCCCATCCTTCCATGTCTCCATGCTTTATTTTGCTGAGGAATCACTCTGAAATACACTATCTAGAATTTCTGGTCATCTTGATTCATAAATTGTGTAGCAACTAGTTCCTGGAATCCATCTGCCCTTAGCTCGGGCATGCAGGCTTGTGCTTAGTATAGAAAGCCCTTCCTTCCCTCCTAATGACTCCTGGGATGGATGACATCATTTGCCTAGGCAGAAAACCAGGAAGTGACAAAAGAAAGGTAAAAAAAACAATTTAAAACAAGTAAATACGATATACTTTCCTGTGTATTTACGAATGCTAGCAGCATAAGGATTCAAAATAGTCAATGTTGATTGAGAGAGTGAAGTTCCACTTTAATAGCATGGTGACTTTTGGAATTCCAATGTTCAACAAAGTATTATTAAAATTTCTGTTTAAGTGCCACATCCCTAATATTGTAAATATATACCAAAAAAAGACCTGAAAATGGGGAATTCTGAGGCACAACATAGACATAAAAACATGATTTATTTTGTATCAAAATCCAATATGTAAAACAACATTCTATTTCACAACATCAGTACTAAAGCGTGTAGAAAATGAAAAGTTTACAATATCCAGGAGCAGCAAATCTCTTCCCATGTGATCCAAATTCTTTGTAATCGTTAAGCTCATTCTTATCAGCTTGGGCCCAACGCGTTTCATGTACTTAATC